ATATATATATATATATATTGCTATTAATTTGGCAACATGAAATGTTTGCATTTAACTAACTTGTAAGTATTAGCTAGACATACAATATTTATATATTATTGTATTTCTACTTCTGTATCAAAATAGTTGCATTTCACCAACTTAACTTAGCCTCTTACTTAATTGGTATCTTTAAAACTGCAAATTTAGCTTTTACACCTACTTTTCACGCCTATTATTCTCCGCATACATTACATGGTTACTCTTTTAAAATGTAAAATTATAACTTGTACCATGTTTCTTCGGTTCATGATTTTTAAGAACAAATTAAAGGTATAGGCCTGCAAATTTATTACATATGATTGGGTACCCTAGCTAGATGCATTGAGATTATCATATCAATCTTTGTATCAAGCGTGATTTAATTATGAGTAAATTTGAGACTAATTAAGTGTCTAAATCTCTACTTAAACTTCTCACATTAACACTCCTTCTCACGCAATCATTCGTTCGCCTATATATATATATATATACATATAAAGAGAGAGAGAGAGAGAGAGAGAGAGAGAGTGTGTGAGGTTCAAGGGAAATCCAAAAAAATGCAAAAAGTAAAAGAATATAGGTAGCGCCAATGGTTGCTTGTGCCTCTCATTAATTATCACATATGCATCATATTTGATAGAATATATTGTCATATGTGAATTGACTATATTATAGGAATGTTTTTGTAAAATGAAGATGTTTTCGTTTAAAATATTTCATATGTGTATGTGTGTGTAGTTAGAATACATATATAGTGAGGTAAGGGCGGAAATCAAGTAGATGTAGGGGACAAGCGTCACGTGAAAGAGGCTAATTTGAACTCAAATATTGTTGATGCAACGCAAGACGTAACTAAAAGTGTACATCAAGTTAGACATATGACGCCATTAGGTAGCTACCTTGTTTTCATTACATTGGATTTCATGAATCCCATTCATTATATAATTACATGCATGCTTTTAATTTTCAAGCTATGCATAATATACTTTAAGATTTACATGAAAAGATTTTTTTATTTGACTAACTATATATATAATTAATAATTAAACACAAAACTAAGTAGAATACATACTTCTATATATATATAATTAATAATTAAATCATAAGTGGAAGATGAATTAGTATGGAGTTATCCATGAAAAAGTTATTCAAGAAATTAAATATCATGAAAAGATGGAGAATTGAAGATTCAAATATGAAATGTTAATAGGAAAATAAAACCTATATTAAATAATTTATAATTTTAGTTAATATATACATCTTTAAATAGAATTTCTGAATGGATATATATATATATATATATATATATGCATCTTTTAATTTTTTTTTTTTTTTTATGATATGTAATCTTCTTGTTTGAGTATATAAGATAAAAAATTTAATTTAGAGGAATAAATAAGTTAATTTGGAGTGTTGAACTTATATGCAACATATGCGGACAAGCTTGTTGGGGGATGCTTAATAATTTATGGAGAAATAAAAAAGAAAAAAGGTTAGTAATGAATTGGAAGGTGAGGGACGCATGCATGCATGCATGGAAGAGTGATCATCCATCAAAACACATACACATATACATACATATATGTATATATATATATATATATATATACATGATATGAAAATATCATATGATTTGGTCTGCTCTGTGGTCCATATAAATACAGGACATCCATCCCAAACATAACACCAATCAAACACCTCCAATTTTCAATTCCTCATCTGAAATTAATTAACTACTAGACTATACGTACGTAGTGTTAGAGAGAATATTAGGATTAGGATTAGGATTAGGATCAGAAATGGAGGTGTTTAATGTTGACCACCCTCTGGTTTTTGTTTTTGGTCTTCTAGGTACTTCCATCTCCATCTAATTAATTTAATTTATTATTACCTTCTCCATCTCCTTAATTATTAACTATTCATTCATTTCATCTTCTTCTTCTCCTATACCACAGGTAACATTATTTCCACCGGCGTCTACTTTGCTCCATTGTAAGTCATCATCAACTTTAACTACTATACATACAATACTCAATACTTGATGCCATGTTTTTGTTAATATGTATGTATGTATGTATAGGCCAACTTTCATTGAAATCTGCAAGCGGAAATCTACAATGGGATTCCAATCATTTCCATACGTGGTCTCCCTCTTGAGTGCATTGCTATGGTTGTATTATGCCTTCATCAAAGAAGGAGACACTTTCCTTCTCATCTCCATCAACTCTCTCGGTACCTTCATCGAGTCTCTTTACATCATCATTTTCCTCCTTTATGCTACACCCAATACCAAGGTATATATATATATATATATGTATATTACTTACTTCATGATCTTAATTAATATACATACATATCACCTAATTCATTACTTAATCAATGCAGAAGCAAACGTTTAAGGGCCTCTCTGCTACCCTTGTCTTTTGCCTTGTCATTTCTCTTGGGACCCTCTTCACGTTGCAAGGAGAAACACGCGTGCTAGTCGTCGGATGGGTTTGTGTTGGGATATCCATAGCTGTCTTTGCAGCACCTCTCACAATTGTGGTACGTAATACATATCACAATTTATGTATTTAATTCATATATATATGCGTATGGATTTTGATGAAGAATATATATATGTAAATGCATGCAGTTTGAAGTTGTGAGAACACAAAGTGTGGAATTCATGCCATTACCCTTATCATGCTTCCTGACGCTAAGTGCAATGATGTGGTTCGCTTATGGGATGTCCCTCAAGGATATATGCGTTACGGTAACTAACACCTAACCTAACACCTATGACCTAACCTTAATTATATTTCATTTTCTATACCTCCTTCAATGCCATTAAATTCCTTTTCAAGGAATTAAAATCGTGCTCGCAACCATATATGTTTTGTTATATTCTCTTCTACCCAGATAACTAACTAACTAACTAACTATATATATATATATATATATATGGTTTTATATATAATGAATGAATGAATATATGCATGGTTCATTAAGAAATGATCATATAATTTATTAAACGTTGGTATATATGAATTTGTAGGTGCCAAACATATTGGGATTCATATTGGGAGTAGTTCAAATGGGGGTTTATGCATATTACAAGAAGGTGGCAAGCGTAAGCGACAAAAAGCCCAAGGATCAACACATGATGAACATATTATCTGCAAACTCAGAGGTGCATCCCGTTGATTCCGGGAGAAGTAGCGAAGCAGATGATGATGTTGTTGCTGCTGCTGTTGATGATAACGAAGAAAACAAAAAGGAAGAATGCGTGCTAGTGAATGTGAAGCAGCAGTCGTTGGATCATATACAGCTTGTGATATGTGCAACTTAATGGGATGGGATGAATTAATTTTGTACCTCTGATCTGATCGGCATACATACATACATACATATATCTTAGTTTGGTTGTTTGATCTTGACATGTTTGTTTAATTAATTGTTATATATAGATTTAGACGACTCTACCTCTTTCAATATTTCTCTCTCAATAACAGAAACCCATCCAAAATAAAGTAACCCCCAACAAATCAAATCACCCCTACATCTACATCTACATCTACATCTACATTTGCTACCTAATTACTTTTACTATATCCATGCAACTTTTCTCTAATACATTCTCTTTACATTTCCTAATCGTGTTGAACAAAAACATAGACGAAGCTAATATATATACCTACCTAATTAAGATATCAACAATCACATCAATCACATATATACGTATATATGTACGTATGTGTATATCAAACGACAATTCATATGGTGAGAATGAGATTTCAAAGGTATATATCATTTCTTATCCTTACACGATGTTTCCTCTATATATATATATATATATATATATATCGATACACATATACATATATATATACATACATACATACATAATCCTTGAATAATTAATGGATCATTAATCAACTATAGAGTTAAAGATATGATAAAGTCCTTCCAACTGAAGGAGGAGGATTTGAGAGCAACTTGAGTCATATATATCCGGCAACCAACCAGAAGCGGAAACTAATGAAGACATTGGCAATAGTATTGCCGACAACATGTTGACACACAAATAAATCTCGACGTTTTTACGACTGCATTACTTACTTATGAAACACGTCATTCTTGACAATATAGATGGATAGCAAGCACTATATACACCAAACATCCGTACTTAGGGTGTTGTTGAGTAGCTATTCATGGCTAGTGTCGTCTTGCAAGCTAGGGCTCAATATTGACGCCGTGAATTAGAGATTGAAGCCATGATGATGATTACTTTAAGATAGTGATGTCATGTATGTGAGCTATATATATACAAGAAGAATAGGAACCCATTTTTATTTTATTCTTTTTATAAATAAATAAATAAGAGACTTCAATGAAATTAGACTATCTTGTAAAAAAGATTCATTATGAAATCAGGACAAAAAATGTCAGATTTTAGAAAGTTGAGAGTTAATTGACAGATCCCAAAAACTTGAAGGCCCTGTTCTGCCAAATTGAAAAATGTTCACCTTTTCCTTTTGATCTACACTAAACATGTAGGAGAGGAGAACAATATCCTATCCCTATCCCTATCCCTAGCTATCCCTCCATTAATTTACCATCAACAAATTCTTACTTGATCAACTTTCCATTTCTAACCCCAAACTCACAATTTTCATGTCACTTGTACACATACAATCAAGCTCCATCTTTTTTTTTTTTGTTATGTAAGCTTTGATTTCAAACAAAATTCGTTGCATTAGTTTCAATTTTAAAATGAATATTAAATCATAAAATTTGAGCATCAGAATTTATAGTTTATGTCGACAAAAATACTACATACCAGATTGTCCCCCAAAAAAAAATGACCTAGAAAGAAGAAAAAAAAAGCTCCAAAGGTTACGCAAGATAGGACAGGGCATACAGCTACAAAGACTTATTGTCTCATATTTATCCATAAAATAAAAGTCACCGCCCTCATAACCTAACATTCTCAGCCATCAAAATGGATTGTTGATAAGAGTCACTTACCGGCGAAGCGTTAACCGAGCAAGAGTCTCTTCCTCACTTAATTACCATGTGACATTCTCTAGGTAAGATTCTCGACCATTGTAATGCTCACCCGATAACGTAAGTAACAATCACTTACCCCAATATAAGCATTTGTAAACAGCCAAATAAAGGGTTCTTCTCTTTTTTCCACCAACACCAACTTTTGTTTTTGTTTTTTTCCTTGACAATTGTCATCAAAATATACATATACTGCAAATGTTGGTTTTAATAAATAAATTAAAAAAAAAAAAAAAAAGTTTGAATATCGTTTCTCCAAGCCAAAAAGAATATACCATACCATACCTAAGCATTGTTGGCATCAAAGGTACCTTGAGCACTTTGTCTTCTGTTTTCAACCCACATCTTTGCCTCTGCAACAGCCCTCTCTCTTTCAGCATCCCTGTTAAGCATCCTTGCACTTTCTTTAGGGGACTCTTCTTTCTCTTCCAAATCCCATTCACTTCTTCTTCCATTTCTTTCTCGTCTTTCATTCTTCGAACCACCTGGACCTGCTGCTGTGGTCGTCGTTGGATCATACCCCTGGTTTGCAAGGTAAGACAAGGCCGTCACCACGTCTCCAATCAGAGGCCGAGCAGCAGCCTGCTCTTGAATACACATCGATGCTACAGCTAGAGCCTGGTACAGCCCCCTCATCGGATACCTACCTTCTAGCCTTGGGTCAACCAATGACGTGAATTTCCTTCTGTCATTGAATAACGGCCGTGCCTACACGCAATGCAATGCAATATAATTATTTCTCCATCATTTCAATAATTCAACACACACAAATGAAAACAAAGGAATTAGTGAATTACCCATGTGACAAGGTTCTGCTGTCCATGTGGTTGACTACCATCGATGGCTTTGCGACCAGTAATAAGCTCTAAAAACACCACTCCAAAACTGTAGACATCAGACTTGACGGTCAGTTGTCCGGTCATGGCGTACTCAGGAGCACAATAACCGTATGTACCCATGACCCTCGTAGAAACATGAGACTTGTCTCCAGTTGGACCCAGTTTCGCGAGCCCAAAGTCAGACAGCTTTGGCTCAAATCCCTCATCCAGCAAAATGTTGGATGACTTGAAGTCCCTGTAAATCACAGGAGGGTTAGCCTTATCATGAAGAAACTCTAAACCTTTGGCTGCACCAGCAGCTATCTTCATTCTTGTGTTCCAATCTAATCCTTCTCTATCAGGTGGAAGATCTGCAACACAATTACATAACTTGTTTAAGCCTCCACTTCCCTAACTAGCTAGCTTTTTTAACAGAAAGATAGGTTTACCATGAAGGTGATCTTCCAATGATCCCGACGACATGAATTCATAAACAAGAAGTCTTTGGTCACCATCAGCACAGTAACCAATCAAATTCACCAGGTTGGGATGATGTAAAAGGCTGAGCATAAGAACTTCCACTAGAAATTCCCGGTTACCCTGAAGCCCATTTCTATCCAGTTGTTTAACAGCTACAACCTGTCAAAAAAAACAACATGCTAATTATAAATCCTCAATCAAGACTTGGATAAATGCTAATTACAGCCACCATTTATTGAATCATCTTTTAGCTCATTGCTAAATGGAAAGCACCTCATTTTGGGCTGCAATTATCATCACCCTATCTATCATTCAACCCAAAACCACACTGTTATTCAACTAAGGTTTCTAGCCATAGCATTTATATTCATCAGCCCAACTAGATAACCAAAGAGGGTTCCCCAAAAAGTATACAGCAAATTCTCCATGTGAAAACAGAGAAAATTCAACAAGATATGATACAATCTCATCTGTTGTCTGTGAAACAATAAACTCAACAACAGTGAACAAGATTTATTCTACAAGACTTGTTCATCTGTCTTACGTAACACATGAGTTCTCCTTATGCCATGGTTCTTTTTGCAAAGCATAAAATCTGACATCAATTTTCAAATACTGATTAAAGTGATACACATAAACAAGTATTTAAATTGGATGAAATTCCAGATAACAATCATACAGAGAGAGAGAGTTTACCTGACCACTACCCTGAAGACGTCCTCTATATACACAGCCAAAACCTCCCTCCCCTAAGAAGCAGTCAGGCCTGAAATTGTTTGTTGCAGCTGCAAGTTCACGGAATGTGAATGTTTGGGCAGCAATCTGACCATCTGGTGAATCTTTTGGCCCTGACGAATCCCTCCTTAAGCTGACATTGTTTCTAGACTTGAGCCTATCGACTCCTGCCAATTCAGTTGTATTTTATAGCATCAAAAAGTTTCCCACATCATTTTAGCATAGGATAATTGACTGCTCCAGATACAAAACCTGGCCCGAATAACTTATGATGTTTTGTACCACTTTTTATCTCTTATGGATCAATCCCACAAGTAGCAAGTCGTTATAATGAAGGCATCTTGTGATGGGAAAATTAAAAAGAGAAGCTATCATTTCAGAAAGTTTATCATGATTTGATGGGGCCTACATCAATCTAAGATTGCAAAGAAGAAAATCAAATCTGAAGCAATAATGAAAAGAAAGGAAAGGGAAATTGTGAATGTAAACATAAGCAGATCAGATCAAAGAAGCAGTATTATGACTTGGAACAGAAACACACTTACCCGATGATAATCTGGAAATATTTGAAGGCGCAGAGGGGTGGACTTCATGGCGATCAGCCCTGACTTTCTGAGGATTCAATTTCTCGTCTTCCCTCGAATCAAAACAAGGGAAACAACCCATTAATCTTTGCTGTTTATCCCCAAAGATAAAAAAAAAAAAAAAAATCAGAAGAAAGGGGGGATTTTCTTGAATCAAATCGTGCCCAAATGCATAAGTTGAATAAGAAAGCAAAAACCCAGAAGGAAAAATCAAGTGAAGATTGAAGAGAGAAAAGATTTGTTTTAGGACTCAAGAGATAACTGATGATGATGATGGGGTAGCGTGTGGAAACAAAGCCGGCTTTGTGCGTCTTCCTTCCTCCCTCCCTCTGATTTACCCACCCTTTTTCTTTTTAACGTTTATTATGATTAGTATCGAATTTTGTAACTTTTTTTTTATATGCATAAAATATGAAGTATAAGCCCTCTTTTCTTATTATCAGAATTTAACTGAAAAATCGTATTTTTCCTTTTTTGTCACATCTTTTTTAAATTTTAATTTCAAATAATTAATATTTAAAACAAAAATACCTTCGTAAGTGAAAATTTGTGAGTGGATTGAGAGGAATAAGGCCGGTCCAACCACAAAGAAATCATTCGCTCGTCATTTTCAATATATCTCAACATCATATCATAATTATATATATATATATATATATATATATAGTAATAAATATCTCAAAAATCAATTTCTTTTCATTTATTGTATCTATATCTAATATAATTTGAAAAATGGTAGTCAAACATTCTGCTTTTATATTCATCTCAATCATATTCTTATTTTATATGGATGTTTATTTTGGGTAAATTGTAAGTAAAGAATACAATATTATTTAATACAATTCAAATATTCATTTAATTATGTTTTACATCTGATTTGATCAAATAAATGATAATACATCTGCTGCTAACATTTTATTTTTAAGAAACTTAATCTAATTTTTAAGAGACAACTTTCTTTCGTTCACTTTCTCATCAAACCCACATGATATATTGTTTTTCTTAATATATATATATATATATATATATATGGACTCGGGTGTTATTGTAGGTTTACATATGATTTGATAATCAATGATGGAACACTCCGATATATGACATGAATTGAATCACTGTAATATTTAAACGAATAGATGTTAAAATACGCATCATATGGTCTTTCATGAATTGGATATTTTAGCCATCTTTCAAAAAATATTTATCATTATGAATTGCTGTGACATTCATCATCTTTTGTGAGAAATACTAAAACACAAAACTCATTCAAGTGGAGATGCAAATCATTTGTATTTGTATTTTTGATATTTACATGAAAAGTAAATGATTTTATTGAAATATGAAACCGACAAAGGCTGGATGAACAACTTTAAATCATTTAAAACTCAAATTCTTTGTTATTATACGTAGAAATTCAATAAGTTGTGTCAAACACCATTTCCCTATGTTCCATTGCACTCATAACCATGTACTTCATTTCACAAAACTGCAACAAATATATCAAAATAAATACGTAGCTTTTGAATTGGATTCAGATGTAAAATAATAATAATAATAATATATACTTTAAGAAAAACATTCTTATATATTCACGATTTCACATTTGATAAGATTAAATGAAGTTTTATTTCGTACCTTGGGTCAACAACCTTTTGATCCCTAGCTTGAATCGGTGGGATGTGGACAAAATCAATCTATTATTCGGCGCTCGGAATCGATTAGAAAGTTTAGAAATCCCCCTACCTATGGTCTCGGCTCGAGTATGGACCAAGCATTGGACGGTTGTTACATAGTAAAGTGGGGTTATCGTGTCCTCACTGAAAGGATTGATTCGAACTCCCACCTCTTTGTTGAAGGAGATAGGTCTCTAATCTAGAATGCTAGAATACCTCACAAAGTCCGACATTTTGTTTGGAGAGCAGCCCGTGACGTCCTTCCCAATCGTTAGAATCTTCAGGAGCATGGAATTCCAACTTGGTGCTTATGTGTTTTATGTCAGTATAGACCGGAAAATAAGTGGCACCTCTTCATCTATTGCCCCACTACAAAGGAGTTCTAGATGGAGTCAAGTTTATGGTAATTGGTGGACGGCCAGGTTGAGAGGGTCTTGTTTGAAGTCTTATGAGATTGTCATAATATAGTGGTTGATAAATTTCTTATGACGTTTTACAATAATTAACTTTTTTTATGATAAAAATTTACGAAGTAAATTGATCGAAAATCGTTGAAACTTGTTAATTTCCACTCGATATTATGTATTTATTTTTAGTTTAAGTTGGAAAAAATGGTTAAGTATTTTGAATTATATCTCATAACTTGTATAAGTTTTGTTTTTTTAAATATAAATTTTTGAGGTCCATTAGTTTAGTTGATGGGTAATGGCAACTTTTGAAACTCATATAAAAAGGAGCTTAGTTTTGTCTTGATCCTTATCCTAAGGTTATAGAGTGAGTGTGTGTGTACGCACTCATTAATGCTATTGGTTTACTTAAAGAAAAAAATTTAAGTTTTATTATACAAACTAAGCATTGATCATGTAAAAGAACATATATTTTGTTTTTGTTAATAGAAAACAAAGGAACCCCATCCACCCTACTTAATCGGAACTTAAAACATTGAACACCAATTCAACCATAATCCATAACATCAATATCCCCCATTTCCATTTCCATTTCCATGGAGAAACACACCGGCAAATCAAGCAGTTTCATCGGAAGACATCGTTGGAGAGCCACCCTCGATAGTCCCCGATCAACCTTTTCCCCTAAACTTTATCATAAATCCACCCTCCAGCTCCCCCCCGACCATGACATTCCTCCCGACCATGATCATAACAGCTATTCCATTCCCGACGATGTTGATTACGATCAACTCTTGCTCCAAATTGATCGTTTCATCGATGAATTATCCACCGCCGAGGACAAAACCACCCTACCCGACATCCCTCACCATCTCGACACCTTTTGCAAAATCATCAAGTCCAAGACCAGAAAATCCACCAGATCAGGCTCAGCCCCTAGAAACGGTGAGATGATCACCGATCAAGGTACCTTTTTGTATGAATCCGTCAAGCGATTATGGAAACTCAAAACCATTTTGGCTCCCAACACGCCTTTGCTTGATAAAATCACCAAGCTTCTCCATCGAGCCATGCTGTTCATGGAAGAAGAGCTCCGTTCTCTTATTATAATCGAACCAAGGCCTCCACCCGAACCCAAATTGAAGGTCATGTCCTTAAGATACTCTTCTTTCAACACAGATCGTAGTTGCTCGTTATCGGAACCACCGACCAAGGATGACGATTTTCCAGGTTTCTCTGAGGAGAAGACGATGAGGATCAACAAAATCGTAACCACCATGATTTCCGTCGGCTACAAAAACGAATGTTCAAACATTTATAGCATGGGTAGGGGAAATGCATTATACGATCAACTCAAAAAGCTCGATTTCGAAAAGCTTAATGCCGAAGATGTGCAGAAATTAAACTGGGATTGGCTTGAAGCAGACGTCTCTCGATGGATCAGAATCATTAAGCATTGTTCCTGCGTCTTAATTCCTGCAGAAAGGTTGCTGGGAGAGAAGATATTTTCCGAGCATCTTTATGTATTCAGAGGTCTATTCAGCAATCTAATTCGTAGCGTGGTGACGTCGCTGCTTGATTACGCGGCGGCGGTGGCTATTAGGAAACGATCGGCGGAGAGATTGTTCAAATTCCTTGATATGCATGAAGCCCTAAATGGCCTTAGAGAAGCAACCAACGATTCTTCTGATGAAACCAAAGATGAACAATCATGCAATGATCTGAATGCGGAAATATCATCCGTCATCGATCGGATCGGCGAGGGAGTTGTGAACATGTTCGGCGATCTGGAGAACTCCATTCGGAATGACGTGGCGAAAACTCCGGTGCCGGGAGGCGCCGTGCACCCGTTGACACGCTACGTTTTGAACTACGTAACATGCGCGTGTGAATATGGGGATACGTTGGAACCCATCTTCCAACAGAATGCAAAACTGAACCAAGCGACGTCGCCGGAAGAGATGGAGAAGTCACCGATGGCGGCACAGATAATGTCGGTGATGAGCGTTTTGGACGACAACTTGGCGGTGAAATCAACATTGTACAAAGACCCTTCATTGAGGTACATATTCTTGATGAACAACGGAAGGTACATATTACAAAAGGTGAAGGGATCAAGTGAGGTAAAGAAAGTGATGGGGGACGATTGGTGCCGGCGGAGGTCATCGGAGGTGAGGCATTACCACAAGAGTTACCAGAGAGAAACATGGACACGAGTGTTGCAATGCATCAGTCAAGAAGGGATTCAAGTAAAAGGAAAAGTGGATAAAAAAGTATTGAAAGAAAGGTTGAAGAATTTAAATGCGATGTTGGATGAGATAGGAAAGACACAGAGCACATGGGTGGTGAGTGAGGAACAACTGTTGTCGGAGCTGCGGGCGTCGATATCGGGGGTGGTGATTCCGGCGTATCGGTCGTTTGTGGGGAGGTACAAACACCACTTGGAGGGAGGTGTGAAAAGCATAGACAAGTACATCAAATATCAACCGGAAGACATCGAAACGTTGATAGAGAGTTTGTTCGAGGGAAATCTTACGTCAATGTCTAGGAGGAGATTCTACAGCTAGGAAATGCCAAACCGATCGACTATATCTCATGTATCCGTATGCTTGATTGGTATATCTATCTATATATCATTATCATCTGTCTGCACAAATTGCAAAATTATTTCACAAGGCTTTCTATAGCTAATTAAGCGATCGAGGCCTTGAACAACATCCTTAATTATCACTGTCAAACAAATTCCCACCAATTAATATTCGTTTTTTTATTTTTTATTTTTTATTTAAAAAAAAAAGTTATATAGAATATTTGATGAGATTAATTATGGACTGAAAAATGGCATTGAAAGTCAGGCTATGGCTGGTGGATCATCCGTGACCTAAATTCAAAAGTGCTTAATTTCCCTTCTCTTTTACCAATTATTTAATTCCATTGCCTTTTGGATTTTCTTTAATCTATTGGCATAATAAGATACATGCTCTTTTGGTAGAAACTATTCATTTATTAACTCATGAACTTAGACTTGGACCAAGAAACTAAAACTAGAACAAGTTTAAACTTGGATGCCTTTAGTTGTCTAAGACTAGAGTCATAAAAAGGATGTCATGTACATATTCCAAACACCCACCAACACTTGCAACCATCATCATTCAATTCAATTCAATTCAATTACTTGTAGTTCACATGTCTTTGTTTTGTTTTGTTCTGTAGCAGAAACAACCAACTCACGGACTCAATTAATTAGACATCATCCAATTATTTATATATCTATATCTACCCACCCATCTACATAACAACAATCATAACATGGATCCAAAATTCCTTCTTCTTCTTCTTCTTATTCTTCTTGTCTCTGTGTCTGCTTCCCCGGTTCTTGCCTCTCATGTCATGGTGACGGGATCCGTGTTTTGTGATGTTTGCTACAACAACTCCTTCACAAAACTCAGCTATTTCTTACCAGGTAAACCAGTTTCCTTAAAACCCATCCATCATTTTTATTGGTCTTAACATCTATCTATCAACAGGTGTGGATGTTCATGTACAATGCAAATTCCGAGTAAATGCACCGACCACCAAGGAACAGATGGTGTTTTCAGTCAACAGGACAACAGATAGATATGGTGTTTACAGGTTGGATATACCATCAGTTGATGGGGTTGACTGTGTGGAAGCTCCTGCCACACCCATTCAGTCATTTTGTGAAGCAACCTTAATAGGGAACAGCTCAGTCCCTGGGTGCAATGTCCCTGGTGCATCAGCCACATCTAAAAAGATCACACTCAAATCCAGATCAACGTCGAATCTATGTGTTTATAGCCTAACCGCACTCACTTACAGACCCTTCAACAACAATTTCACACTTTGTGCCAACCATCAGGAAGACCTTAATTACAATTCCTCAAAGTTTTTCCTTCCCTATTTTCCATGGCCTCAATTCCCCCCATTGCCACCTCTCCCCTCATTGCCGCCATTGCCACCTCTCCCCTCATTTCCCCCTTTCCCCTCTTTGCCGCCATTGCCTCAATTCCCTCCATTGCCCTCACTGCCACCATTTCCTCCATTTCAATTCCCTCCACCATCACCTTTACCACAACCACCATCTTTGCCATATCCACCTCCGAATTTTCCTCCTTTTTCAAGACCTCCAGCATTCAATCCAGGAGACCCAAGAACCTTAATACCCAACAATCCTTCATCTAATCCATCACCACCACCTCCATTCAATCCTAGTGATCCAAGAACTTGGATTCCACAAAATCCCTTTCTTGTTCCACCACCACCACCTGGATTTGATCTAAGAGACCCAAGAACATGGATACCTACTTTTCCCCCGTCCCCTCAAAGCCATCAGCCCTAGTTGGTGGTTGCTCATATGTACATACAAAGATTGGTTTCTTTAATATGTTATGGATCACTTGTCACATTATTCTTTTGTAATAATGCTTATAGACAAGCTGTATTATTTTTCTTATCATGACAACCAATTGGGACTATATATGTATACACTTTACCGTTCTATGTTTCATACGTCCAACATGATTGAACCTCTTTCTGTTTTAAACTTGGATTGAATAAGTAGAGAGAAAAAATTGAAAGCATCCTGGATATTAGTTGAAGCTAAAATGAGGAATATAAACTACCACTAATGCTTAACCTTTTTCCCTCGAATAAATATTTGGACATTACTAGTTTGATGCATGTATAAGTTATCTTGATACTTAGTAAGAAGATTTGTGGGAACCTAGTTACCACTTTATAATTCCCTTCAGCTTATTACTCTGCTGCTCTCCAGCACTTTTATCTGCCCACGCAAGTCTTCAATGGTATCCATGGCCTCCTACAACAAAAGTTATAGGTATATAAAGCTGATACAAGGACAAAGAATGGGAATTATTAAACAATAAAAAATATATGTATTTTATTTTCCCATCTCTAACCTTCCACCTCTTCCTCAAAGTCTCTTCCTGGTGATCTCGCCGCTGTCTTTCTTCAGAAAATATGTCAATAAGGCTTATTTGTTCTCTGTCCAGTTCTTCTATCTTTTCTTGTGCCTTTAGAACCTGGCCATGGAGCATCACATCATTCTACGATCCAAAATGATATTACTAAACTTCTACATACTGAAAGAACTTGCTTAATCCTGACTATAGAATTGTGGAACCAGTGCTTAAAATATGTATTATAGGCTAGTTCTCCGAAAACAAATGAATATACTGTAAAGATAAGGAAACAGATAATTTACTTGATTTTCAAGGGAGACAACCTTGTCTCTCTCATACTGCAGATCAGATAACAAGTTATTTATCATCACACGTTCGCTTCCCTCTAATCTGCAAAAAGGGTTATACCATAAAATCGCAGCAAGATAACATGTTTTGATACATACCATTACCATCAAGTGCTTAAAACGGAACCCATGCCAAGTTGGTAGTTCAAATTCTCCTCCCCTCTTTGCCAATTAAGAAAAACAAAAAGGATTTAGATGGAGACAGTTTAACTAACCTCTGCCTAAGTACAAGATTCTCTTCCCTCAACTTGGCTACTGTGTCTCCATTGTAGTCAGTTGATGCATGTCCATCTCCATTTGTAGTTGCCACCTGGTTAATTACAAGGGATGTACAGCAAGTGTAAGGTACTAGGACCAAGAAGACGCTATTAACATCCTGTGTTTGATTCCACTGTAGAGAGACATTCAAGACGGTTCTCAACAAAAAATTATCAATAGAGATCATCTCTTTGGATTTTTGTATGCACCTCGAAGAAAAGAAAAGATTAGGTAATATTTTATTTGAAAAGAACATGCTTTGCTTTTCTCCATTAGATGACCTCAGATTTATCCTTGGTCATTCTTGCATATCAAATATAGAGTTTAAATCATACTCCTAACCGTGAATTCCAAGCATCAGTAATCAACACCAGGAAGATCCCAATTTGCAACAGATGCATAATTACAGAACTGGAAAAGACTGTTAATTGCTCGACACTGATCTTTTATGCATGGCCTACTGTTATTGAATAGCTTATTAATCAGGTTACAGATCACATGAGGATAAGTGGATAAGCATCAAGAGAAATTCACCTCTGAAGGTAAACGTCTGGTGCTTGCTTGTTTTTCTCTTGATGTACATGCATACGCCTCTGGAATCTCATCGTTTTGTGCACATTCTAAAAATTTTGATGCTTCAAGCTTTCTGATGGGTCTCAGTTTCACTCGAGCATCAATGGTGTCTATTCCAGTTGGAGCTATATGGCGATCAGATTCATCTTTCATAGAAGGTCTACATTTTGTATCTGAAACACTCTTGCATCGTTTAGCATAGCCGATTTCTTGACAATTTGTAGACCTATCAAAGTTGATTGTTGGCCAAATCAAATCCAAGCTTAAGCTATCCTTAAGGCAAATGAATCAAAGTGAACAAACCAGTATTTCTTCTGTATTGCAACCAATCGATTCTCAAGCCTAGAAAGTACGGTTGTGCGTTCAAACCCCTGTTTATCATGAGCTGGTTCAATAAAATCAGCTTCCAATACACCTGTTTATTTGAGCAAATCATAAATGACGTGGTTAACAAGTGCTACTAAATCCAAACTACATGATACCTATAACTCCTCGACCATCACTTCCAGCAGCATTCCAAACCCTCCAAAATGGCTGCCACAAAATTTAGGCAAAAATTCAAAATAGAATATACATAAAAAAACATAAACCTGTCCACTCTGACACAGGTATGAGTGAACCTAAAATTCCTATGATGAGATAGATGGACGGAATCTAGGATGTTTTAATATCAGATTATCCAATTCGAACATTTTAAATTTTTTAACCATTGCTTAAACATGTTTATAATAGCAACGCTTCAACCTATAACTTGTGTGAAGAATTATCACGATTACCTACAAGAAGTGCCCATCAAAATTAGTATCCATTCTTTACCAGAAAAAAGAGCAGTCAATTGATGGCTCTTTCAATTGTGGCTATCAAAATGCATGGTAAATTTAATTCAAACCTTAATTAGTCGATTCTTATGATAAACATTGAATCCTTGAACATCGATATGATCTTTTGCATCTTTCACAAAGCCAATAGTCACTACAGCTACCATCAGCTGCAAAACAAGAGCAAAAAGTGAAATACCTAATTTTAAAATCCAGAAATTAGTACTAAGCTGGAGCTTCTTGATTTGAAGTCATACGTTTTGATCCTTCCTTGTCCCATCAGCATTTGGTTGTGTTGGCTTATACATAACCTTCTCAGTGAGCATCATATCATCAACTATTTTATGATGAATGACATCTTCTCCACGAAGGATTATTCGAAAGCCATTTGGAATGCTCAGGTATAAGATTGATGCATAACTCTAGAGAAGTACAAAAAATATAATCGAGATAGATTAGCAACAATGTATTCAGAAATATAATGAAGATAGATTAGCAACAATGTATTCAGGAATAAGCAATAAAAGGTTAATGAGTTGAAAAGCGTTATAGGATTAGATGCATGTGATACATGCTCAACAATATATGCAAGCATTTGGAGGGATAAAATCGGAATCTGAGTTATAACAGGATGTTCTTTAACACATGCAGTAGCAATGCAGGCAGATATCTGTCCATACAGCTCCCATAGGTAAACTAGTTTTTCTAATTGATGACTGTCAACCAGAGCTGAAGATCATATAAACCCCGGTAGAGGAATCTTACCAAGAAATATCATCAAAAGATCAATAAGTCAATGTAGTACGGTTTGAATTACACGGATAATCATAGATTTGATAATTCATTTCAAAATAAGACACATAGTGAAGCTTTCCAACAGCTAGATAAGGAAGAACATAACAAGTCAGTAACAACATGGTTAGATATTTCATGCATCAAAATGTGAATAGAAGGATTTGCAAAATATTGTATGCGCAGATGGGAGTGAGAGAACTTATACTCTTAAGGAGTGACGGTGTGTTAAAAAGTGCCGAGAGTTAGGATAATCTTTTGCCATCTCTATCTTCTTCGGATCTCGATTGACCCCCCTGATTTGGATGTCCTGTCAATTGAAAACAGGAATAGTTGGATTGAAATACATTTAGGCTAAAGAGAAACTAAAAGAACAAACAAGCAACCACCAAACAGAAGAAAATATAAGCATACATGCAGATCAGTGTCGAAATCAAGCTCTAATTGTCCTTCTTCATCCTCCCAAAGGTTGTATATGATGATGTGCGTGCCTTGATCATTAAGAAAATCAAACTACAGTAGAAAAACTTCAATAAGGTATGATGAATCCAGGACTCCGCTTACATTTCTAAAACATAATTTTCCCTAGTAAGCTACAGCTAAACAATATAGATGCATGCTCTATCAGAAACGGACTAATGCTCAACCGGTAAGCATTGCCAATTCTCCAAAATCCATGAGACTAAAAATATGATCAGATAATTATATAGGTGGACTCTTTGTGACATTTGGTTGCACAATATTTTACCCTTCCGTCAAAATCCTTGAACCAAAGAGACCCTTCATCTCCAAAAAAAACATTCATGCAATGTCAAGGCTAGGCAAACATTACCTGCTGTAGAAGACCTTCTTCACTCGAGTATGGAGACCACCGGACCAGTGTCTCCATGTTTCTTTTCCAGTCAGCAGGTGAAGATCGCGCCATCATTCCCCATTCTTCTCCTCTTTTTTCAAAGTCAACCTAAATTGAAATGAAAAAAGACCATAAAATAAGACTACACACATGTTTCTTAGACAAAGCAAACTCCGGCAGAAAAGCTCAGCTCTCAGGCCAAAATAAGAGCATTTACATATTATTACAAGGAATTAAGCATGGATGGCCACACACCAGCTTGCATGGATATAGAAACAAAGTTAGGTGTCGTACCATTGGAACTACAATATCTTCCTTTCCAGTTTCCATCAAAAATGTGTATGACAGCATCCCAATACTTTGGGTTGAGCTAAAAATTGACAACAAAGGTATTTGGTTAGAAATACATAATGCATGAGAATGAGATAACGATAATCGTGGGTATCCAATGGAGACCTGAAGTTAAGTAACAAAATAAGATACAAATATAACTGCATAAACCAAGCCTATGATTAAATGCCAGCTTATAAAAACACACCTTCTACCATCCTGTCCTGGACAACGGGTATATACTAACACATCTGCTCCAAGCCTCATCGTACTTGTCTTGAAGCCATTCCCATCTAAAAAAATCAACTCTTAAAATGGTAAAGGATGCTTATTCCTGAAAACATTGAATTGCAAAAAAGTGAATATACTCACATTGACCTATAGTGTTTGCCAATTTGCTTTTTACAGAGTAGCCAAGAGACATGCATGCTCGCATTTTCTCAGGAGTCATTCCACCACCATTATCTGTCATCATATATGAAATAAAAACTCTTGGGTAGAAAAACAAAGAATCCAGTAAATCTGAACTTTTAGATATACAAAAATATGAAGAAACTTGAAGATTTAGAAGTTCAAAAACAA